TTAATTCCGAGCGGACTGACAACGGTGAGCGTCTGCTGCAACTGTGTACGGAGCACCAGTTGTTTCATAGTAGCACTGCTTTTAGACACAGTGGGCGCCGAAGTGCTACTTGGCGTTCTCCTGTAGCCGACCAGCGATGGACCCAAATTGATCACATTGCCATAAGTTACAGATGGCGTGGTTCCATCCTGGATTGCTGCTCGTACTGGAGTACCTGCGTCGACTGATCCTGCCTTGGTACCCAGTCGTTTCTCCATGAAATTTACCGCGAGGTGCACCAATCGTCTCCCCCGATTGACAACTGAGAAATTGCCTAAGCCCTCGGTCAGGCAAACCTATCAAGACGCAATACACACCGGACATCCGCTGCCTTGTTCTAATGACACAAAGCTTCATTGGAATAGGATCTCGGACGCCATGCACGACGCAGGAACAACTGCTTGTGGCACTATCAATCCTCACCGCACCAGTCGCTGGATCTCCGAGCGGTCGGTAAAACCAAGGGGCATCTAGAAAAACCTCCCGGCTGGCTCTGAACACAATGTGAGCAGATGGGTTATTAGGTGCGAATTAAAGCGATTACGTGCTGACAAGGAAGCCTGGTGGACCAGTAGGGCTCAAGAAACGAGGAGACAGGGGCAGTAGAAAGATATCGCAAGCTCAACCAGCTACTCCGAACCACTGGTCCGTAGACGCCACTCGTCAGTGAGACAATCAGATACAGCGCGAAACACTTTCAAGATCATTTCAGCTGGACTCCTGCTCCCGGACCTCTTCCTACTCAGGTGATGCAGGACGAGCCATGGACGGTTAGTTTTGAGCCTCCGACAGAGGCCGTGGTCCGAAACGCCATTACAGTCATCAATCGTTTTCGTGCCGCTGGCCCGGATTCCCTCCCACCTGCACTATTTAAGGATGGAGGTGAGGTCCGCCTCAAAAAGCTGACCCTATTCGAAGGTGTTTGGAAGGAAGAGAGCGTCCCGGCTAATTGGAATGAATCGAATATAGTAGCAATATACAAGAAGGGTAGACACACAGACTGTTCTAACCACAGGGGTATTCGCCTAACGCCAGTTGTGACAACCTTATTGCCCTCGATTCTCGTTCGTCGCCTCACTGTGGAACGGGAATCTCGGATTAGGGCAGTGCAGGCCGGCTTCCACACAGAACGTGGCTGTATAGACCATATATTCACTTTGTGGCAGGTGTTAGAGCAACGCCACGCATATCACAGACCGACAATATCTCTGTTCCTTGATTACAAAAGTGCGCTCGATGCAGTCGATCGATCGATTCTGTTCGAAATACTTGCACGGAAAGATGTTCCCACGAAATATGTGAACATCCTACGTGCTCTATACTCGAACACTACAGGCCGAGACGGGGTCTACGGTGGCCTATCGCATAGCTTTCCGACCACAAGTGGCGTTCGTCAGGGTTGTCCGATTTCCCCATTTCTGTTCAGTTTCGTCGTGGATTCTGTCATGGAGTGAAACCTTGCGGAATCTCACGATGTAGGGGTTAGAGTGCTGCCTGGTGAAAGATTAGTTGATCTTGATTATGCGGACGATATCGTCTTGCATTTCGAAGAAGTTGGGGCAGCCCAATCAACCCTGAATAGCCTGCCCAGAGTGGTCCCATTATTTGGTATGCACTTCGCACCTTCAAAGTGCAAAGTGTTGCTGCAGGACCGCCAGACACTTGATGACGCCTTGAACCTTGCTAACGAGGAACTCGAGGTGGTTGATCATTTTACTTATCTTGGCAGCTGCGTCAGCAATGATGGGCGCATAGAAACTAATGTCAACTCACGCACTGCAAAGGCCAGAGCTACCCTCTTGAACCTGCGGCATCTTTGGCGACAGAAGCAAGTTTCCATTCGGTATACAAGGCCAGAGT